ATATATATATTTTTTTGGTTTTGAAATACCAAATCTAGCTATTTATACAGAAAACTCGGTAATCTAGAATAAAGAGGTATTCTCGTTTATTTCACGAAAAAAATTGAAAAACGCTAGTACGGCACTTATAGAAAAAAATTTAAATAATTAATAGTCCTTCGTTAGTCCATATCATTTGCGAAACTTGGCTTTGTCTATAGTAAGAGCTAATCTCGATTAATTCATAAAATTTAAAAGAAAAATCTTCTAAAATATAAAGTTGAGTTATTTGTATTATGTACTTTGTTCTGCAGTGGCAGCGAAATGGCCACCTGACGCACCGCTGCGCTACTATCCCCAGCACAGGCCTCGCCAATACTTTGACGACTTTGCAATTGATTCGCGAAATTTTGACAATGAAAACTCTATTGACGGAAACGGAAATGCCGTATTTGGCAAAACAATCGCAGATGAAATGACGTTGCGAGATTTATTGCAATCAAATGATATTGAATTCCCAGCCGAGGAAAGACGTCAGCGGCAACTGCATTGGCTGGGCAGTTGGTTATTTGGACAAATGCGACCGGAAGCGATGCGAGCGCAACAACAAACAGGCGARTCGAAAACGTCACAACAACAGCAGCTGCAGTTGGCATATACACCAAGGTTAGTCGTGCCCTTAGAACCGGCACAAAAGCAACAACAAACACAGCAACAAAATGATTATGACATWCACGACAACGCAGATATTGTTGTCTACAAGAAGACGCCCGAATTTGTGCCAGGTGAGGAGAAGAGACCTTCACCTGAAAAGGATAAAGGTGAGAATAWTRTCGTCGCGACTAATGCGCTGGAAGAGGGTGGGGAGAAACGCTATAAAACAATTGACACCTTAACGGATTATGATTACAAACTGGATATGAGTGGAGATAATGGACGGTATAAAATCGAACAACCGTTACGTTCCAAACGTATTTTATACGCGCGTAATATTGGTCTGGATTCTGGTTATATACCCTACACAGCATATCAGCACGAACGACAACAAGAGCTTAACGAGGCAAAGAAGTTGGCTTATAAACGCAACAAAACCGGCAATATGGATCAAMGGAACTTTCTGCCCTCCATTAGCGCTGGTGAGTCTAAGCTATTAATTATTTATAACAAAAAAATTATATATATTTAATATGTGTATCTATATTGTTCAAAAATTATAGGCGCCATGACACATCTGGGCAACTTCTTTACGGATCTCTCGAAGAATGTGCGCTACAATGAGAAATCCCAACCGTTGAATCATGAGGAGGCGAAATTGCTCGAAGGTCATCATCCCTTGCGACAGCTGCATGAGCGTATGGTCGGTGAACATGAGGCAAATGCGGGTTAGTACACAAAACTTGTTGTTGGACATCTAGTACATTTTAGACTTTCTCTGTTTGTATTCACAGAGTTATTGCATGCGATTCGGACATATCGGCCCTCGCAAAAGATCCGCTCTTTGGTGGCGATGAATCCGCGCGGCTATCATGGCGCACAATTTATCGATCCCAATTACATGTGGGTGGGTTTGGGTAAATAGCGACACGCGCGGCGGCGTTGTGGTAGCTGGCATTGTGCCATTGATCCGCCTTGTTGGCATGGAGTAAGAGAATGAGGTTCTCAAGTGCCCTGCTCTCCTTCTCATACACTCCACTCCACTCCACACATTCCACCACACTCCACCACACCGCGTTTGAAGAGTTACAACGAAACACCATGGATGCAAATATGTTAATTAGAATGAAGCAAATATGTCTGTGAATATGATTGGCTGAAGTCTTTTCCATCCCTCAGTTTTATATATTGAATTTGTACCGATGTGTTGTATTCTTTTTTTTAATTCTTTTTGAGAAAATTTCGAGTCAAAAGTGTGTATGCTCCTTCTCCGCACCTAAAATTCAGCTCATTATAAATAATATCCTTAAAATGTGTGAATTTATTCGTAAACAAATATTCAAATGGTATATACATACATAGATACATATAKTAGTAGCTGCAAATCGTGAAAAAATGTATAAAATTCACCTAAATTGTTATTTTTGAAGTGTAAAGCTGCAATGCAAATAAATGCGTTTAATATTCTAAAAAAAAAGAGGAAAATGATTTTTAGAGATTTATGTAATGGCATGATAGTTAGATTCTATCGATCTCTATTAGTATCAACGGCCAAGATGAGATTTACAAGTGTGGTGAAAAAAGGCTCTTAGTTCATTCAATTGGATTTTACTCACCACTAGTGATTCGATCTCGATTAGCATGATATTTGAAGGTGAGATTTACAGGTGAGGTGAAAAATATTTATAAATTCCGTTTATTTTATTCACCACTAGTGATTCGATCTCGATTAGCAGGAAAGTTGAAGATAAGATTTGCTGGTGAGGTGAAAAACATTTTTAAGTTCCTTAGAATGGATTTTATTCCACGCAAGTAATTCGAACTCGATTAACATGAACGATCAATGTGAGATTTGCAGGTAATGTGAAAAACATTCCCTTAAATTAATTTTACTCTCCAGTAATTCAATTTCGATTAGCATGAAAGTTAAAAGTGAGATTTGTAGGTGAGGTGAAAACTTTTTTAAGAACTTAAAAATGAATTTTACCCACTACAAGTGATTCGATCTTGCATAGCAGGAAAGTTGAAGGTGATATTTGCATGTGAGGTGAAAAACATGAAAAYTGACAATGATAACAGATAACTAAAGAGGTAAGTTCTTGTCATATGTGTAATTACAGAATCATTAAAGACAATTAAATGGTAGTTGAAAAACGTAAAATTCTGAGATGGAATCCTGAGTTTTGGGTTATACGTAGAATACTGACATTTTTAAAATTTTACYAAATAATAAATACAAATATTTTTTGAAGACAAGAAGTAAGTAAATAAGCCATATGCTGTTTTATATATAAAGGTGCCCAGTGACACAAGGCTCAGGTGTATGTAAACTAAATCGATAAAAAATCAACGCTGTCAGACACCACCGCTGAGTCATCTCGAAAGAAATCTGCTAACGGTTTTTATACTACTTAATACGAACTTTATTTTATACTTATTTTATAAATAAATGTACATAAGTAAATTGACTTTAATCGGTCAGTTTATATGACAGGTAAATACTATAGTGTTCCGAAATCGGTGGTTCCGGCAAATGAACAGTTTCTAGGAAAAAAKGGAGCTGTGCAGAATTTCAGACCGTTATCTCAAAAACTGAGCGACTAGTTCAACAAGCTCTCTTKATGTTGATCAATAGTTCTCTAAATCCCTTAGTCCCCATATACATAATATAAAGATTTTCGAACTTCCGGCTGACTTTATTTGGTAATTATCGGTCAATATGTGAGTTGTCTTCACGACATTGAARGATAGTATTTCGCTATTAGCAATGTATCTTTGTGCATAAAACTTGCCCTAGCTGACATATACCTAATATGAGGACTTTAAACATCATCACCTATATATTGCGTTTGTGAGATGCAGACCTTAAAAAAAATTCAAAGAGCAAAAATACCAAAAAATCGGGTCAACTTAATAAATATGATATACAAGTAATTTACATATTTGCATAGATTAGTAAAGCTACAGAGAATTTACAGATGATTTACTCAAAGAAGAGAAAAACCCAGGTTGGTTTTCCTTTTCGATCAATTTATCTTACCAGGCTCGATATATTGCAAATCGATTGTTTTGTGCATTTTCAAGGACACTTTCCAGCAGGTAACCGCTACTGCATACTTTCATTATTTGTACGAATTCATTCATCTGAGTCGTGTTCGTGGAAATGCTTATATACTTTGGCCAGTTAAACAAATTTTAATAGCATATTTATTTAGTTYATTAAATTAATTAAAATAACACAAYAGTAAATAAAGTGTACAGGAATATATCAGTGCATGAATGATATTTATAATTCGAATAAACGTTTCATGCAAGTTGAACCCCAGTGCTAAATATTTATTCGTAATCAGCTGTTAATTTTGCCGGAGATAAGTTTTCGTTTATAACTTGGCAGCATTCAAAACAGTTGTAGAAAATTCATATTCCATTTTAAAGTAGCGCGCTATTTTAAAAATGGAAAATAATGGGGAAAGCGCTGATAAACTAATTCGGAATTCTGTAAATGATGAAAATAATCCGAAAAACGACGAAACAGCAACTGAAATGGCGCAAGAAATAATTAATGAAATTAGAGACGCTGCCGTGGCTGAGGCAGCAGAAGCTAATGCTGTGAAAGATAATTTAATTGCTGATGCAAGTGCACCATCTCCTGAAAACATGGAAGAGGACGATGATAATCCTTTAGCAAGCATATTCCTGGAAGATCTGAAAGAGTTACACGATTACCCATTCAGATTTAAGAAAAGTGAAAAGGGGTAAGTAAATATGTTTATCATTTTGCTACGATTGTATGTATTCATTGCTGCAATGTTATATTTCTATACTATTATATTTGTTTTAGAAATATTCTAAGCATGCACCACATTTCTGAGTGGTTCAATACGAAGTTCAGTCCCAATCTTAAGTTATGCTCTTTTAATCCACAATGCTCTATAATGGTGGTAGTTGCTGAAATGTAAGTAAACTTGATGAGACGTTTTGAATCTTTAACTTTTGATGTGTTATCTTRTAGTGGCTTAATATATATATTTGACTTGGTGAACAAGAGTTTCCGCAAATTGAGTGACGTGATATTTTTTCCTTCTGCAATAACATCATTGAGAGAAAGAAGAAATCATTTTCTYATAGGAAATAAAAACGGCGAGATAGCGTTAGTGGATTTAGGTAYATGAAATTTGCTATTTTTTATGTAATAATAATTATTTTTCATTTACAGATCAATCAACTGTTACACAGACCCTTCTTATAACAAAATATTCTATAATAGCAATATCATGCCCACCTCCATCAGTAAACCGGCAACATTTAGTGCTTGTGCATTGTGACTATGAAGTCATACTCTTTGATGTAGAGCAATTCCTGGCAACACATCGTTTTCCGTTTAGAAAGAAAAAATTTCAACTAAAGTTTTCTCAATACTTTTCACAGTCAGATCATATTTTTAACTGTTTTAATGACGATACCGTACAAATATGGTCCGGTGCTACTATGAACAYTATACGTGCAATAAATCCCATAAAAATGCGTGATCGCAAGTTGCGCATGGAGGGCACCGGTGGTTTAGCAGCAGATTTTCTACTCTGTCAAGATTATAACGGCAGTGGGGGKGTTTTCAATGTTGATTGTAAGGTGTCAAATCACTCAAATGGTATGATTATTGGATATTGTTTTCATCCCTATATGAATTTACTTTGCCTTTCCACACGTGACGGTTACTTGTTGTTAATAAGCACAATTACTTTTGACTTGAAACATATATGCCGGCTGCAGGATTTCGTTATAAGACATTGTGTCTTTCTGCTACATCCAAAAGAGATAATAGTTTGCGGCGTAACTGATGGGTCTGGCGAAGCAGTCGTCTTAAACTGCCTTCAAAAGGATATTAAATTGCGTATCCAATCAGAGAATGCGGCCAGACTCACAATCTCCAGTGATGCCAAATACTTAGTGATATTTAATAAAACTGGTGAGTTGGATGTTTGGTCCACTTGTCAAATCTACAACATACTCAAGTCACAAGAAGAATGCCTGCGTCTGATAAAGTTGTCTTTTAGACAAAATAAACCGTTGCTATTAGGGCCRTCACGCCACTGTAAATCTGCGCTGGTTGCAGCACAGGAGGAATGCCTAAATGAGGATATTAGAAACTTACTTAGTCGTGATCGCCTCTTGAGTATACTGCGTGAATTTCGTTGGTTCCCGTGTAAATATCGTGTGCTTATATGGTGTGCACTGCTGCAGTTGCCTTATAATCGCAACGAATTCTTTCAACTTTTAAAAATGGGCACGCCTCCAATCGTAAAGCAACGCGCTAAACAATTACCATTGCGTGATGGCACGTTGAAAAATGCGCTGGTACGCATATGGTCATGCCTGGCACATTGGTGTCCCGTTTTTGCGCATAGTAAATTCCTGCCACAACTCATATTCCCTTTTGTGAAATTGCTGCCGCGCAACTCGCTTGTCGTCTTTGAGATTTGTGTCACACTCTTGACAAATCACTTTCAAATGTGGTTCGAACTGCATCCATTGGAGCCAAATAATTACTTGGGCATGTGTGAAAACCTATTGCAATCCCAATGTTCGGASCTATGCAAATTTTATGCCAGCATGCATATAAATTCCGAACACTATGCTTGGCCGCTACTGTCTTCCGCCTTTTCTGAGGTGTTTAGCCAAACTGAGTGGCTTTACCTATGGGATAAYATACTGTCGGCGCCACCATATTATCCAATTTTCATTGTTGTGGCATACAATTACGTGCAACGTCGAGTAATTATGCGTCTACCCGACAAGCCAACAATTTTGACTTTCTTTCATGAACAAAATCCGGTTGATGTGTGTGAGTTGATAAATACAGCTAATTCTATTATGGAAAAATGTCCGAAGACATTACATCCCGAGCGGTATATCCCCGAATTACAGTGTATACCCAAGAAAGTATATCCGAAATTTTTGAATTATCCACGGCAATGGCTGGCCAAACACGAGAAAGATATCGCCGCGGTACAAAGAGAAAAACAATGTATTGACGCACGCATAAGGAAGTTGGAGCTGGAAGAGATGAAATTAATGGAGCGTCTGCAGAGTGGCCTGCGCAGAGAGGAACATGCAAAACAAGTGAAAAGTGAGTTTTGGTGTGCGTAAAAATTAAATTCTTTAAATTTATTTAATTTTGTGTATGTRTAGAAATGGAAAAACTTTATCGTGACTCGCTCAAACGTGAGGAGGAACGTTTAGCTTGTCAACGACAAATGTTGGCTGTATATCAGAAAGAGCTGCGCAACCGCAAAGCCGAAGTTGCGGTACAAGTGCAGGAGTCGGAGCAGCGTCAAAGAGCGCTAGCTATGGAAAAAGACTTAGAGCTATTAATGCAGAGTATAG